AGATGAGCTGGCAGGATTCTGCAGCATTGACTGTTTCTATGATGCTGGAGGCACATTCCAAGAATAACATGTTTGTTTAATAAAGACTTTCCTCTTTGTATGTACTGTATATATTTTTTATTTTTTTATTAATCTTACCACCAGACACAACATGAACAAATGAATGATACACATCAGGACAGTAACTTAAACTTCAGTATTTTAGGTGTACAGAAACCTCTACTCATGTTGTTAAATGATATACAGCAATATCTTCCATAAAACGTAGTTGATTGATTTGAATAATAATTACTACCACTGCACAAACAGTGAAAAATGATATGCCTACAATTTATGAATTTGTCTTCTCTGTGGGTTGTATACTCTTCATTCTTTATGCAAATTCATTATAATTATGATTTTTCAAAGTTCGTTTATGATTCATTCAAAGCATTAAAATAAATGAGAAACAGAGAGCGTCATATACCTTTAAGAAATACGTGGGGGCGGGGTTCATAACCCTTTAGGAAACGCCCCTATACGATCCGCCTCCTTACTGCGGTCTGCAGCCAGACTCTATTGAGCTGACCGGCCGCCATCTTGCTACAGTCAACAGTTACTCTGATTCGCGTTATGGTAGCTGTTGTAAGGTGAGTGATCTGCACAAAAATACTCTTAACTCGCTGAAATCTTGACTGATTTACAAACGGTTTGGTTTATTATAAACATTATTAGCATGGCTATGATACAGGATGCTTGGACATGTTGAAATTGCAGCTTTTCTTTGTGTATGTGGTTGTATTTATTAGCTGGCTAATAACAAGAGGCTGTGAGTGAGACCAGGGCTGCTTCTCAGGTCGATTAAATGAAATCCTTGCTTCCCTCACTTGCGTCGTTTCCCTGCGTTTAGTCCCTCCCACCAGGGAAGCATGGAGGGACGCAAGGAAACCACGAGAAGCAGGGAAATGAGTTTTAAGAGCAATGGGACGTCCTTTCCTCCGGAGCGTCACGTGAAGCGACGTCCGTTTGTGATGACGCTGCACAGCTGTTCGTCTGGCAGCAGCCAGCTCTGTACCCGTTATTTCCACAAACACCCCCGCCTCTGTTAGTGCACATTTACTGACATAAACATTAGTATAATCTGTTGTAGATCCAAATACATGAAATAAAATAAGTCATTCTCAAAAAAGATAAACGCCATTCTTAAAATGTATAAACGAAAAAAGCGATCATGAAAATGTTTCCAATAAATGAATAAAAAAACGTTTGACCACTTTGTTGTTTAGATATATCACATATTTGTAACTAAATAATACATGAATTGAAACAAAACACAGTATAAACTGAGGAGTGAGTCCCGTGAGGTTCATGTATTTTCTTCACTCCGCTGGGGTATTGTTCTCATGTCAAGAAACATCAGATCAGTGCATGCACTGCCTCGTCCAATCAGTGAGCGATACACAGTAAGGGGGCGGGGTGAGTATCTGAGGATTTCATCGGAGGATGGTCTGGTGGTTCCTCGGTTATCGCTCCTCCATGATCGCTCCTCGCTCCTCCGGCAGAAATAAGAGCCATGGGACGGTACTCAAGATGGCGCAGGCAAATCAACTTCCGGTGAGACCGATGACCGAGGAGCGAGGAAATGAAAATAGTCGACCTGAGAAGCAGCCCTAGTATTACAAAGTTCACCCAGCAACTTTAAACGAGTGGGAGAGGCAGAACTGCTCTTTCTTTTCAACATAACTTAAGTTACACATGATTTCTTCCAAGTGGTTTGGCTTGTTAAAAACATCTTGCATTATGATACAGGAATTTGCTGGCTTTGTGTTTACAGAAGTACCTGACTATGCCGGACTTGTGTGCAGCCTACGGATGCTCCAATCGCCGCTGTCTGCAAACAAGAACCCGTGGGATCACCACATATGTTTATGTTTGCTCAGTCTAATAAACCCATAACATGGTTGTGAAAGAATACCAAAGCTGAGGCTGGACGATGATTGATTGTTGGTGTGCCATGTGTCACCGTGTGTCTTATTGGTTTTGTGTTATACTGTATTTTATTGTGTGCAGCTGGTCCTTATCTCCAAGACACATTTAAAACAAATAACCTTGAACCTTGAAGCCCCATCTCTCCCCACCTGCTCCTGCTTCCTACATCCCCTCCACACCACACCAAGTTGTTCTTCTTAATAATAATAATACATTTATGTTGGGGGGCCGCCTTTCATAACACCCAAGGACACCTTACAGGGGCATAGGGGCAATATAGGGAACAATTTAAAAAGTGGATTTTGTGATATATCAGCCGGGGTGAGACAAGACAAACCACAAATGGACTACAGAAGGACACAAAAGGACACATGGTACAGTTTATATTATTCTTGGTCTTTTTTCAATAACATATTTCAAAGGTTCTGGATTTGTTTACAAATCTAGAAACTAAATACAAAACTAGGATGATATGAAGATCTCATGTCAAAAATAATTGTGATAAATTAGAAAGAACTGGCCTGTCTGTGAGCACATTTTATGTTGGTTTGGTTCTTCTGATAAAGGTGTGAATATCTAAATAATATACCATGCTATTGTCATTAGTTGTGTCCCTGTTCTTCAAGCTAAGGCATTACTAAATTAACAACTCTTTGCTTACAGAGTGGTAACATGAGACCGATTTTTATATATAAAATATAAATGTATTTTAATTTTATAATTTAGTTATAATTTATTTAAAATATTAACAATATAATAAAAATAAATGGAGATATACACCGGCAAATATTTAATATAAATACCTTGTGTGTGTGTGTATAGCTATTGCTTTATCTGATTAATGTTATTTTCATATGAAAGTCCATGATTATAAGTATGCAGTATCATAACTACATCTTTGATGTTTATAAAAAACCAATCCGTTTGAAAATTGGTTGAAAATTGAGCAAGCTATGGTTATTTAAATAGTAAACCATAATGTTATGAATGAGAGCACTGCCTGTAGCAAGATGGCGGCCAAGTGGCAACGTCGGTCTCCATTGGCCAGCAGCGCGGGTGAGTCATCTAGTGTTTATATATATCTATGGGAAAAACGATAGACGCGCCCCGGCCCCACTCATTCAACACATAAAAGGAGTACTCTCGAGGCCTGCTCCCCTTTGGAGCACTAGCACAAGATGGCTTCCAGGACTGAAACACAGGAAATGCTGATGAATTTCATGATTGTGTATCTTTTTTAACATATCGTATAATTACGATTAATTTAAATACAGAGTATATTCATTTGCCTATGTACATTTATATGAGAAAACCTTGAATGAAATAAAGAGCTTTCTGAAGAAAAATGCCTACCTTTCTTAACAACAAAGGGCTGAGGCAAATGTTAGTAAAAGAGTTTGTGCTTACTCGCCCATGGCTACCATGAAACCGAAGTGTGGCCCCTGTGCGGTCCTACTGTGTCCACACAGCCTTGTTCATCTCCTTGAGATATCGAGGAAATGTGTCCCTTGCGCTATAATCATATTTGTCTATTACATTTGTAAAATGTCTAACTCACAGAAAAAGCTTGTTTCGGCGTCACACTTTGTAGACGGTCCCTGCGCACTTACCGTGAATATTTTCTCAATTTAACCGAAATAGGAAATCCCTCATCCCGCCCTCTACGCTAGTCTTATCAACATAGGCTCTGAGAGGGCATTACAGCCTGTCTCAATGACTCTCTCTTGTAATTCCAAAGATATCTTAAAAGCTTTATCTATCATCAGGTGTCTTTTAACAGACGAGGGCTTTTGTTTTGAAATTACTTCCGAGAGTTCCGCCCTCCCCTCGCTCAAACATATAATGTTGGTCATTTATAAGGAAAAAGCAAAAACATTTAATAAGAATTATTGCGGAGACGACGGTAAACTGAGTCAGCTCGAGGACGAAAACGGCTAAACGCATAGGATTAACGCAATCGCAAAAAAGCTTCCGTCCACACGCAATATTCACCGGATAGTGTCTGTCCACACGAGACTGCTCCGTTTAGCTCCAACCGCTGGAGAAGCTGCAGTACATATGCAGGAGCCTGTACGTGGCGCTGTAACTTCCTCCACAAAAGCAGCGAAGAAGCATGGTTGTCATGGTTTCCCTTCTGTTTATTCTCCGCGGTTGGGGCCGAGGGAACCGGGCAGAGTTGTTCGCCAGTCAACGTGTATTAAAGTTTAAATCTTCCGGACAAAATTATAAAAGTGCCGGACAAAGGTCTTCTTTGTTATTTATTGAGCTTTAAAACAAACGAATAACGAATCTATATAATATAATAATAAAATACATGGAGCCTCTCTTTTTCCTCCCTCTCTTCGGACAGCGTCAGTGTCTGTCTCATGCAGCAGCTGATCCAGTAATGAGTGACCCGGCCGACAGTAAAAAATAAACAAATTTATAACTAGTTTAGGTAGTTTGAGAGGTGTCTCTGTCCTGTCAGATTAGACTTCACTCGCGTTTATGTCCATATCGAGAGAAAGATAAATAATCTGAATTCAGTGTGCAGTTTACTTTGACGCAGGGGTGAGCAGCAGAGGTGGGGCTATTGCCTCATCATGATCAGAAAATGATCGTATAGGGCGTACACACGGAGCCGTTGGACCCCCCAGAGCGTTGCGTATGCCGTTATATCCACCTTGGGACCCGTTATCGTTTCCGCAGTCGTTTAGTGCCGTATTTGGTCGTCCTCGTGTGGCCGAACGGTCTATATGACACTAAACAGTAACGCAAACGACCGTTTTCGTCCTCGTGTGGCCGGGGCCTTAGCTATTTCATTATAATGACTTAGCTATCTCATTATAATGACATAGCTATCTCATTATAATGACTTACTATCTCATTATAATGACTGAGCTATCTCATTATAATGACTTACTATCTCATTATATTGACTTACCTATCTCATTATAATGACTTAGCTATCTCATTATAATGACTTAACACTTTTTAATTTAAAAATTATTTTTTATTGAAACAATTATGTAAAATACAGAATAAGGCACATAGACATCAATGTTCATCATATAAGCGGTACAACTTTATATTAAGGTACACAAATTCACCATCAACTACACTGTAAAAAAAAAAAAGTTAGTACAACTCAAAATTTCAAGGCAACAGGCTGCACAAGATTTTTGAGTTTTGAGGCCAACTAACATTTCTAAGTTTCTCTTTTCAATTGAGTCAACTAATTATATTTTGTCGAGACAACTCATTCAAATTTTTTACAACTTCAAGTTTTGAGTTCTGCATACTTAACATTTTAAATAAGTAAAGGTTGTGCTAACTTATTATCTTTGGTTTGGAAAATGTATCTTTCATACGTTTAAAAACTTCTAACTTTGAGTTCCACATACAAAGAATTCCATTAAGTGAAAGTTGTGCCAAGTTATTATTTTTGGTCTAGAAAATGTACCTTTCATATGTATAGAAACTTCTTATTTTGAGTACTACATACTAACAATTCCATTAAGTGAAAGTTTTCCAATGATACTGAATATGTGTAACAACATTGAAAATACACCATCACTAAAAGTCTTCCATAAGGCCAGGGTTCCATACAAATGTGCAAACCACCCTTTGAATAAGCCTGCTGTCAAAACAATAGCAGCTATGGAATAACAAATGGCAAAGTTAGTGTTTAATAACGAAAATGAACAATCTGTAAAACGGCATGTAAACAGCCAGTGATTTCTCCCAACACAACTCTGAGGGACCACACCATTTCCAACTCTTCCACTACTCATATGGCTCTTTATACAAAAAAAACAGCTGCAAGACAACAATTGTGGCAGTAACTACTAACTAGTCCTTGCAATATTACAACAACGAGTATGCAAGCCAGCTTGAGAAAAAAGTGAAATAATGTTAGAGAAAAAAGGTGCTTGTGCCTTAAGAGTGAGAACATGTCTTTGAAAATGTAGCAAGATGTTCATGTCACTAGTTAACATTTTATCTGTAAAGATAAAGAACTTGGGTTATTTGGGTTAGTTAGTGGGGTTAGTTTGGTTTTGGGAACTGAATGTTCAAGTCACAAACAGCAGTGAAGGCAGGAAAATGAAATGGGGACATCTTGTGAATCCGTTTTTGAATTTGCCAATGCTCACTTAGATTATGAGCTTTGTTTTCAAACTCCTGACCCGCTGGGAGCAACTGGTGGAAAGTCCCATGAAGATGTGCTGAACAGTCTCAAAAGTGTACTTGTGTTCTTTTGGAAACTCAATGTTCAGGGCATAGAGTACCAAAAAGGTAGACAAATGCAGTTGGGATGTCTGGTACATCCGAGAGTACAATTGTCTCTTCCAAGACAACAGCAATACTGTTGACCATTTGAGACGGGGTAGGTCCACCATCATCTACGTGAACAGTGAGGACTCTCATCTTGACACCAGCAGTCTGCTTTTCTTCCGGATCAGTGTCCTGCATGTAGAAAGCAGATAAGCAATTATTATTTACCAAATAAGGATATTATATAACTGCAAATAAAACACCGGTTTGATTGCTCAGCAATGACACAATAATTACTGTGAAAATGTTAACTGTTGTACAACTAGTTCACTAGTAGTTCTGTAGCAGGTCTAGTATTTATCCTGAGAATCGGGCTTCATCTTCAAAACAGATTTATCTATGATTATAGGAAAACTTAAGAACTGCACTTGTATGACATTAAATGTAGACTTATGATTAATGGACAACCATACTGTACACACCAGGCATTTCAGGAAGAGCTTCTCTGCACTGTCACGGACAAATAAGGGCAGACCTTCCAGACACATTCTCATTCGTTGCTGTGCAATGTCAGATGTCTGTAAATCAGAAAAACAGAGCATTAGGATTTATGGTTAAAATGAGTGATTAAAGGGTCATTTCAGAATCTCAGAAGTCAGGATCCATTTGTGATTTATTTAAAACAGCAAGTCTTCTCTGAACAAAATAACTTTGCAATAGTTGTTTGAATCGGAAGATAGATTGAATTATTAAACAGGACTTATGTAAACTTTGTTGATGAGGTAAAAGTGAAGTAAGTACCAAAATATGATGCTTTTACAAGATAGGACACCCCTTTTAGATATAAATGGATTTTAACCTTTTTAATAACTTTCACATCTATTCTTGAGTTACGAGAAGTGCATTTTTGAGGCAACAGAAAACTTCACATTTGACATTCAAAATCAAAGATTTTTCTAGTCATTTGTCTCAAAATGTGTCTGGTGAAATGTTCTAATTATGTGATACTGCATTTTGGGTTATAAAAAAGGTGTAAACTGTAGTCATCCAGATTAAAACAAATAAACGCTTTAAATAATTCATTTTGTGTCTAATGCACCTATATAAAATATAAGTTTCACTCTTCAAATAGAATTACTGAAATTATTCAACTTTTCCACGATATTCTAATTTATTGAGATGCACCTGTTTGTTCTCTTTAAGAATATTGTAAATTATCATTACGACATTAAAGACAAAAGCTACCTGTTCATCAAGAGAATCCAATAGGTTTTCCATCCCTTGTCCGAAGGCTCCTTTCCTGGCTCTATACAGCTTTATCAGTCGAGGACAGTATTCATCCAAGGCTGCTGTAAATGTCCCAAACAGGTCCTTGGTAGTGATTCGAAGGAACTCATAGCAAATCTGTGG